GGTCCTCGCGCGACGCTACAGCATCCTGAGATCGACTAGCCTTGTGTGAGCTGAACTGTTCTTCCTAGCTTGAGAAAGCGCCGTGCGTGGTGGTTGCCATCAGCCATTTGTACTCTGTAGTGCGGAGTAGAGAGTGATAAAACTTCGGCATTCTGCGCTGTATTCCTAGCTCAGCCCCCCATACTTCTTTTCTCCAACATTGCGAGACAGTCCACTTGGCTGCAAATCTACAACCGATATTTGTAAGGATGAGAAGAGAGCAAGTAACATTCGAGACATTCGGGGGAAGACCAGAAAGAAGGGTCCATCGAGGTTGGGTGACGATCTCGGCTGGCTGGTGTCATTGTGTCGTTGCCGACTGGGTAGGGTGTCGAACCAACAAGACTTTGCTGAACTTCGTTGGAGCACCTTATTTTTTTTGGAGCTTCTGGCCCTTCGAGGCTGTGATGGCTGTCTTACTACAACCCTTCCCGCAAGGTGAATGCAAGTGCGTTTCCGTCACTCTTATTGATGGGTAAGCTGCCCCGATTGGGGGCAATCACAGCCTTGCGCAGGACACTTGAACAGTTGCAGTTAAGTCTGGTGTTATTCGGTACCCAGCTCCTCGTCTTTCCCCGGCTTTGAGTACCAAACTCTCATTCATCATGGCGTTGGGAACGTGACAGGTTGTGTGTAACTTTGACTTGCTGTGTTTAGGATTTCGTGACGCAGTCATCCTATCAGCCATCGTACGGCTGTTTTGAAAATCATGTTTTTTGGTGCGGCTGCAGAATCCTGAAGACCCTCTCCTCTCCTCTTCTCTGTTCGCAAAGAACGCATCTCTTTGGTTCTGGCCGGTGTCGTTGGCCACCAACAACAGCCCCTTGCAATCTGGCTCTTGCTGGGCCCCTGCATGTTAGACCGTGGCAGGTGATGAGTCAGTTCACTTGGGATCTATTGTAGCGGCAAACCTGCAGCTTCGACTCGGAGCCATCGGTGACCCTAGTCGTCCCGCCGGACATGATCCTTATCATCACCAATTTCGCCAGTTGGAAGACAAGACCCTGCCAACCCCAGTCAGTTTCTTGGAGCTGTAGTTGACGCCACCGTCACCCTCACTAGAGCCCATCCGCTCGACCGGCCGATTGTGGCGCCAGGTGCACGAGAGCATCCAGACAGGGAAACACGGGAGAGTGAACGCCATTCGGCGCGAATGCGGGAGAGTAGCAAGCGAGCTGCACGAGAGTATGGGGAAGGCGGGACAATGTAGCCTGCGCATGTGCCGCCTCATTCATAGTGCAGACCAGACAGACTGGACCAGCCAGCCAAGCAAAACGTGCGGCTAAAACCAGAAACCAGTTGACAATTTTGAACATTGCACAATTGATGGGAAGGCAAGCACAGGGCTCTGGAGCGCACCTGCCTCTGACTCTGAGCGAGTCCCCCAGGGCGTCTCTCAGGTACGCAATCGTCCACGTCCTTCAAGTCCGTTGGTCTGGTGGTTTCGGTCACGGCTGCACTTTGGGCAGCTCAAGTGCCCCATGTCTGTTTGCTGGGCCGGCCAAGTCGCTCGGACCAACATTGAATGCCAAATGCCGAATGTTGAATAGACAACTTTGAATAATGAGTCGTGAGCTCTACTTTACTCCAGCACTTTTTGATCTAGTAATTAAGACCAAGACCCAAAAGTCCCGGGCTGTCGGCCCAGTAGTCCCCACCCCCTCTGACCCAGCCACATGAGAAATCCAGGCTCTATCCAGGTCTCTTGACTGCTTTCCAGCATTCGGGCGCTGTTGGTGGCTCGTCGGCGACCCCCACAATTGCACAGCACACAACGGAGTAGGCAGTAAATGGCAGCTGGCAGCTGGCAGCGAGCAACTGGCAACTGACAACTGGGCGACACCACCACACCGGATCCCGCATTCTGGCATTCTAGCTGCAAGTCGCCCTTCAGTCAACCTTCTCTGCACGCACAGGCACACCTTATCGCACCACCACGCTGCAACTGTTCATGCCATTTCTCGAGACTCGTCTTCGTCTCCTTGCCATCATCCTCGCCGACGCCATCTCTTTTCACATCGATTGCCGGTGCCGGGTGCCTGTTATCCCTTTACTCCGATTCTCATCTGTGTTATCTTTGCTCCCTGTCTGCTGATTGCTGTGCCCTTGGACTGTTGACCCGTGTCGGCCAACTTCGATCCTTATCCAAGCTTATCTTTCGACCGATTCCTCCTTTGTCGTAGGTTCGTCAGCAGTCAACGGTTCAACCGAACGGTCGGTTCCTAGCGACATCCCGCCCAGTTTCTCCCACTTCCAAGTCCATCTCCTCGGAGACGCCTACCACCCACCAGCATAAACTCGTTGCTCTGTCGAAACGGAAATCCTCACCGCACCACTCTGAGCGCAAGACTGACGGCGGGGCGAACGATGCCATGGCTACGTTCAACTCTATGCCGGCCATGTCAGCCGCTGCGCCAAACGAGGCAATGGGCTTGAGTCACCCTGCACCAGGCCAGCCCATGACAATGGAACATTTTGATCAAGACTTTAATTTTGACGAGGCTGTCCTGTGAGCTGCTCCTTTCTTTCTGGAGACGACCTTCATCCAGAGACAAATGCAGTCATGTGAATTGCTACTGATATTGTCGTAGGGATGGCGCCCCGTTACCTACCCTCCCCTTCACGCCGGCGTACGATTTTGAGAATTTTAACACAACTTTTGAAGACCCATTCGCCTACTCCAGTCGGGCATTTGAACCCACCCCAAATCAAGATGCCCTCAATGAGGAATCATCGCCGCAGGAGCTGGACAATAAGTTGCTGGGCTTTTCGGACCCAATTATGAATGCCACAGTTGTCGACAAAACTGGCAAATTTGCGGACGTGAATATGAGCGCCGAACTCTACGGCATGTTCTTCGTTGCAGAGGACGTGTTCGGTGGGGACAACTCGGGGCGTCCTCTGGAGCTGACTTGCTATCGCCGCAATCTATGGCAATGCTCTGGGCAGATAACGCTGCCAAAGAATCTCTCACATCTCATGGACGAGCAAGGTCGCCAATTTTCAATTGACGAACTGTCAGCATCAATCACAGCAGTAGAATCGATTGAAGGAAAATGCACAGAAATTATTTCCATTCCCTGGAAGAGTTCAAACTCTCAAGCGCCTGAGGAGACCAAGGTTGCGGCTGCGCCGCCTCAAATTCCCCTGGATTTAAGCACGGCCCAGGAGGTTGATGCAGTTCGAGTTACCCTTCCTGTCTCTTGGAAGCGTTTACAGTTCAAGCACGCAACGGCCAACAATGGACGGCGGAAGGGGCTTCAGCAGCATTACGTAGTCCAAATCAATCTTCTGGCTAAATGCAAGTCCAACGACATGATGAAAATCGCCGAGATTCAGTCGGGACCCGTTATTGTTCGAGGACGTAGTCCGCGCAACTTTGACAGCAGAAAAGATGTGCCTCTTACTGGGGAAAAGAGATCGGAGAGGAAAAATGCAGCAAGTTCTGATAATACTGCTTTAAAAATAGAGCGGGAGAATATCCAAGCCACAATGCAGAGATTCCAACCCCTGGGTAACGTAGCGGTACGTTCGAAATGCATCAGCAGCCCTGAGTGAATTTTTGAGAAGATCAAAACTGATAATCCCACAGACCCCAGCCGAGTGGTCAGCAAATCCACAGCCTGTGTCTCATGCGAACAACCAAAGTCCTCATCCGGCCAAGAGAATGGCCGTGTCGCCAACCGTTTCTCGACCGCCCGTGCCCTCTTGGTCTGCAGACGGAAAGAACATGACAACTGGCCAGCCACACAGAGGCTCGATGAGTCGGCAAAACACTGCTGTGCCTATCAATCTCTCTCTGTCCGAGGATGAGAAGAGCCCCAATCGGTCCAGTGCAGAGCTGCAAAGTCCTCGGATGGGCAAGTCCTACCCTGTTTCAGGGCAGAACGCCGGGAATAGCCCAGTCGATGATCCAGATCCTCTTTATGAATACTTCCCTCTTACACTAGATGACTGGTATGCCTCATTGTTTGCCTGGTTTAACCTGGCTCGGACATTAGATGCCGGGCATGCTAACAGTTGGACTCGTTTAGGATGCCGCCGATCGATGCGGTCTACCGACCGCATGTGGTCCATCACACAATTGTGCCTCCCGAGATCAAAGCTCAGCAGTCGCAAAGCAAGGCAAAACGGTATTTTTCGGCCGAATAGGAGTGCCTTGAGCTGTGCTCGATGAGGAATGACTGGGCTCACGACCCTGCTTCCGTAACTGTGAGACATGAAGATGGATTCACCCTCCATATCAGAGCAACCTTGTACCATACTATACCACTTGCGTCAATACGTGTTGCATTCTTTTTGTTTGCTGGCTATAACACGGCTGGCAGCTGGGCAGTGCGCTGCTGAAGGAAAAAAAAAATAAAAAGACACAGCGTGCCTTATTATACCCAGGGGGTTCCTTCACATTTTTTCTTCTTTTCCATCAATTTTCGGGAGAAGGATATTTTTGGGTAAATCATGACAGAATAAAAGGTCATAATGATTACAATTGTTTGGTCGATACATACCGTGATGCCATCAATGATGTCCGGGGGGACAATTGCGCAGGATTGTTTGTCTTTGACAAACAAGTATTTATGCACAACTTCATTTGGCTGCCAGTCCACTGCACACTAATATAGCATGGCAACGAGCCCTGTATACTTGACGCAGCAACCCGACTAGAGCTGCAGAACTAATGTACGTGTGCTTGTGTTGTCAACGGTTGGTTGAAGCGTGTGGTTTGAGTAATGTGTGTAAAGAAAGCGGCGATTGGCCCGCGAAGCGTTTGTGCTTTTTTTCTTCTTCTTTCCTGTTTGGTCGAATGCATTGTCAGTTGAGCTCACGCCGTACAAGAAGGATGGATGAAGCCCCCCACTAACCCAGCAGTTGCCCTCCAGCTTTCCCCCTCCATTTCTCAGTGTTACTTTGCCGTATTCGTGACGAACCTACCGACCTAGGTACGTAGGTAGGGACTTGAAATGAGCGACCGAGATAGCGTCGCGTCGGTCGATGAGAGGAGTAATCTGGAGGAAGAGATACCACTAACGGAAGAGGAGGCGGCTTCACGAGATGCCTTTGTGGCTTCGGTGCGAGAACTGTACGATGCGGGAACACCGTTCTTCACCAAGGAGATGATTCAGCTTGCGCAAGATCAGGTTGACCAGATTGCGGAGGGTTCGATATCACCAGAAAAAGTAGACCGCCTTGGTTTTGATGGTAAAATGCATTCGCAATGTTTTCCGCCTTCGTTTTTCACGAAAATAGAGGATGAAATGTGAGAACAAGTCGCCTGGCTCGGTGCCTTGGTTTAGGCTACTTCATATCAACGAGATCTGCGTGCTGATACTTGAACATAGCCTCTTCCCCATTGTTGGGTACAACTCGTTCGAGTCATTAACTATGTTGCCGCCAAATCGTCTAGGCGACAACTTGTTTATTTCTGTCCGCATCTCTGGCTTATACAGGTCGATAAATGAACTGCCGGATATTTCGCAAGATGATGCGAGGTGTGCATTCGACAAGTGTTTCGACCTATGGGAACAAGGCGAGGAGTGGGCAGATTTGAAAGAGCGGATTCGGCCGCATCTTTCACGGCTGCCAGTGACCATTGACAAGATTATCGGGTTTGGGCTCGGCGTTCTGACGACGGAAACCAGGTGTAACGTTGACAATGAATGGGTAAAGCGCTGTAGCGAACAACACGCTTTGATGCTCACGTTGGCCAAGATGTTTCGAGAACACACTGGCAACAGTGTCAAGTGTTTTGCCCAAGACCCCGCGTATTCCAACACTTGCAAGGATATTCTTGGCAAGAGAGGCGTTGACATTGTCCACGGAGACACGGGGTTTCTTTTGGTGGACGAGAACTCCATTGTATTGTCATTTTCTCCCAATGTCCCCGTTCGACAGGTGATTGCGGACCTGACTCGTCCGGCAATGATGGTATGCAATTTGATTTCCAAGCCCACGAGAACTGAGTGGCGGCGATGTGGAGGTGTTTCCGTCAGGTATGGTCTTTGCTCCTCGTTTCAACCTTATGGTCTTGTCTCTCTCACCTGCTCTGTTGACCGGCGATACTAACGAGGGCATTGCGATAGCCCTTACACCACAGATCCTGTTTCGCCGCGAGTCATGGCCTTGAAAGAAGGATACATCGAGTTACCCATCAACACTGTAGTGTCGCTAGGCGAGTCCGCGGTATATATACGAGATGAAAAGACCTCGAAACCGCCCCAAGCTCAAGGCACATCTTCGTAGCGATGCATCAGGCGTATCTATATAGGAGGAGCGGCCAGTCGTCTCCTCAGCCGCAAAAGGGGGCCAGCCAAGCATCATGAAGATTGGATTTCATATATTATCCTGATTGTGCCTAAAAGGCAATAATTCAGAGAAATGATAAATGGACAATATATGTAATGACGGCGATACCACCAATGAGACGATGAATCGTAATCACAAGCCCCTGCCCACGTACTAGATGATGTATCCTTGAGCGCAACCAGTGCCGACCACAAAACAACAGAGCAATATATCTATATCTCAAACCGCGCGTGAGCGTGATAACAAGCGCGCTTCCACGTCCGCCACAACCCAATACACAGTATTTCCCCCTTGTCGCCCATCATAGACACCATCGGAGGGCGCCGACATGGCCAAAAGCCAACGCATAAACGTGCCACCCCTTGTTTCTCCATCTTCCGTCTCCAAGGCCCAAGTAACGTCACAGGAAGACGGAAACACACCGGGAGTCATTCCGAACAAGACGTCCGTTTTTCCGTCACAGCACAAACAAAATGTCCATGGCCGCAACCTATTAGTACTAGAAGGGATCCACAAGTCTGCCAACCAAGCCAAACCCAGACAGAGTGCTCCTACCGGGCGGCGGCATGTTTGTCAGTTCTCAGCATTTCTGTTTTGGACCCCAGTTTCCATCCAGGTGCATAGTCCTCGCCTCCTCGCCGAGTCAGAAATACCTGCTGCCTTGAAGAAGCGGTCCACTGTGGATGGGCTCCTCCCGTCCATTTCGTCTCTGCTCGGCGCGAAGCGTGCTACTGAGCTTCCACCAGCTACCAGCTCACGGTCCTAGAGGCGAAGGGGCAGGCGGCATGCCTTTGTCGGGGAGATGTCCGCTCGAACCTCGGACATGCCAGTGATAGCGCACGAGGACGGTAGGGGGGGGGGGGGGGGGGGAGGGGAGG